CCTTCCTTCTAGAGCCATAGAAGTTAGGATTAAGGTGTGTGTGTTTGCTTGTCTGGTTCAGGCAACTGCTTTATGTTGCTGGGGACAGGCAGGACAAGCTGCCCAAGCATAAGGTCTTGATGCATCTCACCCCACCTTGCCATCTGCAGTATGTGTGGACATCTCTGAATCAATCACACTGAGCTCCAATAGTCAAGTAGCCAAGGCATTTTTGAGCTCAAAAAAGAATTTATCTGCTGGTTTTAGGTATCTGCTTTAAGATGAATGGCACTGTGGTTGTGCCTTCCCCTCTCCACTCCCTGCAGTGAGGACCCTGCTCCTAAGGACACCTGCAGCACATGCTGAAGATGTCTGTGCTGGATCAAATGACTTTCAACTGAGCTTTGGGAGCTGGCTGTGCTTCCTTTTGCCCACAGTAAGCATGAGGTTAATTGTACTGCCAGCACTATAGTGAAAGATTTGGATTAGGGTAATTTACCTTGCATTTGCAGTAGGATGTGCCTGCACATGTGGCTGGTCACTACTGTTCTGCTGAGGGAAGCTGTCATGTGTGATGCAATTATCCTGACAGGAAAAGTTGCTTCCATTACTACTTTTTCTGCTACATGAGTGAATATCAGCCAACATGACAAAGCAGCTTAGATTTTTCACTGCTATAAGCTAAGCCTCTGACAGGAGCTGGCCCTGTAGCTGTGTCTGTGTGCAGGCTCACATATGGGACCCGTGGAAACATCAGTGCAGGAATGTTCTGGGAGGATCCCAGGGGAATAAAGTAACATCAGACATGAGATGGGTGGGGGATGAGGGGTAGAGTCCTTTAGAGAGAGTCAGAACACACAGTGCAAACTTGCTTCCCAGCATTAACTCCACAGGAAACCGTAATTTTGAATGTCTCAAGTTTGGTCCTGGCAACCATGTACACCTGAGAGCGAATGTAACTGATAAACACACTCAAGTAAACCAAGTTGTCATTATTTGATTTAAATTATAAAATGAAATTTAAAAAAAGTAATTTCAAGTTAGTTTCTGACTGCTATATTTTGCTATGTTTGACTCTGCCAAAACATTTTTTTCATTTTCAAGTTCATATTTTTCACCTTATCTGCTTGGGAAACTGTAACATTAAAAAGGAACAAGGACAAACTTCATTTTAAAAACAAGCTGTGTTTCACATCTACTGTCAGTGACAATAGCCAGCTTTTGATGTGTGATTCTGATAGCATCAAAATGAGAAAGCCTGGCAGTGATGCCCTGTTTGGTAATTTTAGAAGGAGGTTTTGGAGCTTACTTTGGGCTTTCTGAACTATTTGAATTATTTACTGGCAGCCACAGGCGAGTGGCATTTTACAGTGTGTTAAAACCAAGCTTTGATATCTGAAAATAGCTCCTTTGGTACAGTGTTTGTCTTCCTTGATTCTCGCAGAAGCTGCATATTTATCATAGCTGAGTGATAAACGGTAAGATTCTGCTGTTTTATATGCAGTGAAATGACAAGGTCAGTTTTAATTAAGCTGAGATCAAGCCCAGTCTGTATTGCACACTTCTGATTAGGTTACTTCAAATTAACATAAGTTTTTGGAGACTTCACTGAAGTCAGTGGTGTTAAACACCAGCTGTGCTGGCAGATAAGCGTGGGATATAAGAAGGAGATAGAATTCACATTGAAATTAGCACTTGGCACAATATAATTCTCTGATTGCAAACTATGCGAAGTTGCCTGCGCTAATTGGTTGATTTTATTTGAAGCAGATGTTGTTAGCTTTCCCACTAATGATCTGGAGAGAAATTTTTTTTGAAAGACATGCCATGTTAGGTTCTCTGCAGTATAATAAGCTAATTACAACTTTAAGTACTTGCAGTAATTAGCACAATGTGTATAAAGTGGTCCTGATCTTTTCACCCTGCTGTATTATTGTTAGGACATGTAAAAAACAAAAAAAGAGAGCTAGCTGGATTTAGTTTCCCAATCTAGCTTTTTGTTTTCCCAGACTTTTATATTAAGGAGATAATGAGCTAGACTTTTATCCTTATTTTTAAGCACACCAAAAAGTTTTAAATCTTTCTCCTGTTTCACTTTATCTCTCTTCTCTAAATCAAATCTGTTTAGTTTTATCTATGTCCATTGAGGTAAAGTCTTCCAACATCTTAAAAAGCCCATTAGTAAAGAGTTCTGTTCAGCAAAGGAGTATTTGTTCACTATTAACTTATTTAATCACTTGCCCACGGATTACCAAGATCTAAAGTATATCTGACCTATAGAAAGAAAACAAACAAACCCACCCTGGAAACTTCCTTCTTTCAAGAGCAATTGTGCTACTTGTGATTTGTACTGCCAGTAATTAAAAACTGCTAGCAGTTTGCAAAATAGATACAAGAGGACGCAGCAAGTGATCCTACCTATGGAAAAGGAAAACCAAAATGAGTTATATGAAAATGGTGAATCAGATATTATCCTTGTAATCCCTTCTGAAATTCAGTGTGGTTGTTTCAGATGGTGGGTACACTCCAGAAATGGCTGTTCTGAGAAACAGTTCAATGAACACTGCAGTTTAGCTAGTGGTCTCCCGACATGGTTTGGTGAAACTTACTCTTCATGAACCTCCACCAGCTATTTACACTGAAGAAGCTTTCACTTCCTAGGAGAAATGATTGGAAGCCAGATAGAACCATTTGCACAAATATGGTCACATTTCACAGTTCCCTGGTTTTCTGGGCTGAGGGATGTCACACTCAACTGTCTTGGTCATGTTAAGCCATGTCAGGAACGCCTCTGTGGCCCCAGCCACTTGTGTGACACACACATGCTGCCAGAGACCGGTGCCATAAGGCATCTTCTTGCCACCACCTGAGAGAAGGGTCGGGACACTGTCCTTTTGGGTTTGTTCCCTGGGAAAATTATTTACTGCCTGGAACTGCAATGGCAGACATTTCCAGGCAGCAGGAACCTTCAACAGGCATTCTGTGGGGGGCTGTGGGCAGAAGCCTCTTTAGGTGGGCTGAGCTGTGCTGTTTGCAGCCCTTGCACGGTCCCAAGCAACTGCTTGCAAAGACTGGCCCAGCAACAAAGAGGGCACAAAGTACAAAGCACACAAAGTCTTTTGGCCTGGCATGTGCAGGGGCATCCGTGACACTTGAGGGGATAGAGCAGGAGGGAGCTCTTGATGATCCAGGGCAGTTCAGCTGGACACTTGCAGTCTGGAAAGATCCTCTCTGAAAAAGTGCTTCAGGCCCAAATGTTTCTTCTTTAGGTCCTTTTAACTGCAAGCCATATCTGTGAACAGTGTTTCCCCTGGTGCAGAAGAGTTTCAACCCCTCATGTTTTCTCCTTTTTTTCCTTTTTGTTTGCTTTACTGATTTTCAAAAGAAATATATCTTTTGCAATTAGGGCATGGGTTGAATGTCCTTGTGTACCTCTCATGCAAAGAAGGTATAAAAAACCAAAACTTGTATTTTGCATGGCATATTTCACAGACATATATTCCTGGGTTAGCAAAAATGACACAAAGTTTAAAATATTCATTTACTTCCATCAATATTTCACCTTTTAAATAAGCTGGTAAATCTACGTCTTGAGAAGGTGGGTGAAAAAAAGGAAATATTTGTCATCATAGGAGTGGTGAGCTATAAGGAAAACTCTTGAGTTAGCACTAAATTGTCACTCAAAATAAACCACAACTTGATTTCTGTAACTCCTTGAGACCAAATTAATTACTTTTATTGCCTTGGGCAAATCTTCTAGATGTGGGTTTAAGCTAAAGCAAACATGCTACTTCCCTTCAGTCTGAAGAATTGGCAAGTAAAGATTCTTTGTTATTTTAATCTCATGATTCAATCTCCTGCTGCATTAATTTGGTGATTTGACTAATTGGTGGTTTAACCTATTATTAATGTTCCTCCATTAATTTCCTGATGTAATTTTAATGACATCTTGATGTCACTATTGAATTAAAGTCTGTTTAGTCTAAGAAAAAAAGAAAAGTAAAACAGTAGTTTTAGATGTTGTTATCTATTTGCTGAATTTTAATGTGTGTCTTCATTCTAATAAAAGTCTGTATGTTTTTAATATAGCAGATTGGGCTTTAATCCTGAATAAAACAATTCATTTTCTCAAGAATTTCTGTGGTTTTAACTGAAATAAACAGAGTCCATTACACTGTTCCTAGGTCCTACTCCAAGGACAGAATGCAATGCATGTAAAAGTTTCCATGTGAAAAAGCAACTTCTGGGTCAAGTGGCGGTGACCATGAATATTCCCTCTGGACTACAGAGAAGTAACAAAGCAGAAACTGGCTTTCCTTGGCTTTGCTACAGCTCATCCTAAGTCTCCAGACAAGTCTCTTAATTTGATTGTGCCTCACTGCCTGCTCTTGACTCAATTAAATGGGGATCTCACTTCATTCCCTTCAGCTTTTACGTTTCATCTGTTTGTAATGTAAACGTGTCAGAGCAGAGACAATTCATTTTATATTGTTTTTAATTTTTATTTTATTTTATTTTTTTTTAAATCTGCATTTATGATCTCTACAATTTGGGTTGGGATATTGAAGGGCTGTATGGTGCACATCAGCTGTGTAATTTAAGCCAGGTAATACCAGATATGGTGGAACCATACTTATTATTTATAAACAGAAATAAACAGGAAGAGTGACTCTACTGCTCTTCTGAATCGTGCCTGCATGTCACCCAATCTGACGCAGAGAAGCACAAGATGTGTTGACAGAAATTGTAAGAAATGCCACAAGGTGAACAGTCACCTTGTTTTCTAATTTATTTAGCAGTGTAGTGCAGCTTGCACTTGGGGATGAGCTGTGCAGCTTGGCCAGCAGCAGATGTGGTGACCATGTGTGTCTGGCCACGCAGCACACACGGGAAACATCTCCACATCCCAGTCCCTCTGGCTGAAGAGGCACTAAGGTCAAGGCACTGTTACCTAGCAACTAATGAGAGCTGATTAATCCATTTGTGGGCGTCACAGGCTGCAGTGATCCATGGGAGCCAGTGCCTGCTTCTACTATTCGTGTAGCAGCAGGAAAAGCAAGTACCAATTACATCAGTAATGCTGACAAAGACATCATCAGATATGTAAACAATAACAGGCAAAAATGACTGTCCATTTTCAATGCTAGCATCAGATTTTGAATTTCTAACTTTTATTATTCTTTCTTTAAAGACTTGATAGAGATGGGATTTATATGTGAAGGAAATAAGATTGTAGATACAGGGAAATTTGTTTTTTCCAGAAAAGCAAACTGTTGGCTTTCCAGTGAACTCTGTGAAAGCAAAGTTCCACCAGTCTTCAATGTATGTTCAATAAACCCCTAATCAAATTAAAAACAGTGCACCTTTTCTGAAATAAATTATTTTGTGTTTTAAGGGCCCCTGAAGAGTTAAATAAAAATAGGGCATTTTATAATGCATCTGCTTGCTGTCTGCACCAAATGCTCCAGAAGGACAGTACCTCACCCTGTCAATGTCTAATGAACTGTGCAGTTCTGTATGATTTATCATTGCTGGTGTTCCACCAGGAATGATCAATAATATTTTCTATATAATTTCTTTTTTACTTCCAAATGCACCCAGCAGGGTAGAGAAACTTTTTTAAAATTGTTGGAAAAAAGTAGAAACCCTTTCCATATTTTAACAGAGAAGACCTTAGCAGACTTGGTTTGCATTTTAAAGGCTTAAAGTCAAAAGCAAAACTATCTTTCACATACAATTTGCTTATTTTTAAATAAAAAATCTCATGAAAAGCCTTTACATGTGAGAAAAAGACTTTAAAGTGAATAGTTTTAACAGAGGAGATAAAACTTTAAAGAATGTATTTTTCACAGTTCAGTTTAGACAAGAAAGCCAGAAAAGCATACTCCCAGAGGCTCCAAGACCAGCAACAAGCAGAAAGTTTGGCTGAGACTCAGATAAGGTAAAATGTTGGTTTTTTCATGCCCTTCATCTTCCCACTCCCTCAAATGCCTTGTGTGAGACCTTCCATTTTCAGGCATTAGTTTCACATTTTTTCACCAGCTTAAGAGTGTAATGGAGAGCAAAATTTCCCCCCCTGAAATGACCAAACTGTTTTGCAGGTAGAAGTGAAGGAAGAAGGCCAGTTCTCATGCTGTAACCGGACCAATCTGAGCAATAATACATTTTTTTGCCTGTCCCTATCGTGGTTGCTTAATGTCCTCAATCTTGTTTATTCTGAAGAAATTGTGCTGGAGAAATTTCCTTCTGATTAGTGATTAGACACAAAAGGAAATGTGGACTGTCTTACCCACTCATTCAACTTCCTTTGTGCTAGGCTGTTACCAACACTTATGCTTTCCAAACAGACATTCCTGAGAATCTCTTTCTTGTGTGCTATATTCAAACTCCCTAAATAACACAGGGATCAGAAGTTTTCCCCTTGAACAAGGGTGCTTTGGAGCTGAAAATGTGTGGTCTGATTTGCTTTTCTGAATCTCTGGGAGCTGTGTGGGAAATGGCTGATGCTGGCTGAGGAGCAGCATCTGATAATGCCTGCTGCACAGACCTTGCAAAGGAGCAAGGACCTCAGCCCACAAAGTCAGAACAGGCCAGTCAGAGCATGGGGGCACACCAGGCTGTCTTCTGCAAGTGTATTTAAACCCTAATTTATCTCTGGAACTTGGGAGGGGTGGCTGAATGGTCAAAAGTATGAGGATATACAACAGGTTTTTCAAGCAAGCAAAGATGCCTTTTACACATTGTTTAAACACCCTTACCCTCTTCTACCTCTCCATAGCTGTCTCCATAATTCCCCACCACACAGATAGCAAACATGGCTGAATGGCCTTTAAAGCCTTTACAAGGAAGAAGCACCTCTACTGTAACTCCCAGTAAATTTAATGTGTGTGGTTTTTTTTTTTTTTTTTTAAATTTAATTTATATTTTTAAGAGTAGAAAAGAAGAGGAAAGAAGCTTCAGCTTTGTTCCTGATTTATTGAATAGCTTGTGTTGGAAGGTACCCTAAAGACCATCTAGTTTCAATAAACAAGGGGACATTAACCCATGAACCAATTGTGTATATGCTGTTTGGCACATTTTACTCTCTTACCTTCCGCAGCACAAAAATGTTGCTGAAGTAACATAAAAAGTGTTTAGAAATCCAGCTCTTAAAGAAACCATGTTGGTGGGAGCAGGGAGTGAATGACAAAAAGCATGACAAGCCTGGACTGTGTTGTGCAATTAGATTTTTTTCTTCACAGGTTATTTATCTGCCCTTGCTCACTTCTTTCCTAAGGCCAGGCCTGCCTGTCTCTGTGGTCCTCAGAGTTTAATCATCTCACCCAAATTGCCCAGTTCTCCACCATGAACTGATGCTTCTCTCCAGTTTCAGAAGTGGAAGAGGGGTGAAGCAGTCCCACACTGTGAGCATTCAGAAGCTGCTTGCAAAGAATTTGGCTTCCAGTTTATGAAGATCCATGACCACTTCAACATGTTTAAAGGTAATTTAAACACAGCTATGAAGGAAAAGGAGAGTAAATTAAGAACATCTGTGCTCTGGGAGTTGCAGGGCAGCAAACGGAGAGCTGTGGGCAGTGCCTGGCCCTTCATGTTTCCCACCTGGGAAGCAGTAAAAAGGTCAGGGCAGTGGAGGAGGAGGATGGGGAGGGATGTTGCTCCACATTAACGTAGGGAATACATTTATGTTAGAAGCAAAACTAGAACTCCAGATTTTCATCCTAATTTAATCGTATACCAAATTCTAAAGTGTCAGCATCTGAGGCCTTGAATTCCACGAAAAGCAAAAGAATCAGAATTCAAAAGTTTTTGTAGCTCTTACTAACAGATTATTAACTTGAGTGAAATATCTCCTTAGGACTCAGTCATCCATACAAGTAACTAACTAAAGTTTCTTCTACAACCTCTTTTCAGGACATACATCAATTTCATAGGTGGCATGAGAGGGTTTAAAATAGGACTGAAGAAGGATGGCAGCACTTTAGCTGTCCAAGATGTGACTTGTACTAAGAACCTTCTCTTCCCAAACAAACTGGATTCTGGTCTGTGCCTGTCTGGGTATGTATTTGCTCTCTGAGGTTGCTTGGTGCTCCAGTTACACATTTAACAGCTTTCTTAAGTGTTCTTCAGCTATTTTTCCTCTGCTCTTGATATCTGCTAAGAATAATGCTCAGAACAGCGTACACAAACACAGAGCACTTCTTATTAGAAGAGTGCACTGGTAAAGGTCACTTTATTCTTCCAATGGGTTGGAGTTGGTCCTCAGCCTTACATTGCTGGAAGCAATGTTTCAGGCCAGGCCATTTCAGCAGGAATCTGAAGTGTCTACACCAAGCTGTTACAAGCAGCACACTTAGAAAAGGAAGGACTTGCTTCTTTCTTGGGGAATAAGAAATACACACCTTAACAGGCAAGAGAAGTCTTCACTACGGACTAGAAGGGAATCACCCAAGCCTGTTTCACCTGTGGTGAGGACAGAGTTCAAATTATGAGCATACAGCACATTGCTCCTTGTTATGCCAACAGAAATTTTCTCCGAGTTTGGAGAGCCATCACCTTCTCCTGAGCTACCTTAGACCACCACAGTATGCACCTCCCGTGTGCTGGGTACCTACCAAACCTTGGTGGGGACTAACATAGTGTGTATATTGCCTGGGATGATCCACTCACCACATGACAGGTGTGCTCTCTCAGTTGTGTTATTCTCCTCTTTCGCTTTTTGTTTGTACTGTACATCTTCCTCAAAACCTGGGTCTGTAAAACAAAAATAAAAAGCTTTGTTTTACTGACAGGGCAGCTGGTAGGTTTTTAACCACAGTCTGTTTTTATTGAATGCCAGTCACTGATATGAGTTCATCTAAGTTTGTCTTCCTTCTCAGCGCTGCAATCTGTTTTACTTTGTACACTATTGATAATTTTTTAGAAAAGGGAGCCAAAATCAATTAAAACCAAACAATTTTTGACACTTTTGGCTTGCTGCAGTGGTATCGGTTAATCACATGTTCATAAATACTCTAACATACAGGTCAGAAAGATGACAGTAAAATTTAATGCACTTGGGAAAAATAAATTAAAAAGGTCTGCTGGAGAGGTTTTGCCATAGTTCTCTTCCTGCAGCCTGTCAGAGGATGCATAAACCTGTGACCTTTTTTGTACAAAATTACAATATATCTCCTCTATCTAAAGCTGGATAATTACAAGGTTACATAGTCCCTTGGCAGGCTGAAGGAAAGGTTACTCTCATTTTCTTCCTAAGGCTTTAGAGTAATGCTGTGTGCTGGAAAGGTGTACAGTCATTTAATCCAGTGAGAATGGAGAGGAGGGATGGTGTCTCTTGCCATTGCTGCTTAGTTACTAACAGAATGACAACCCTGAATTTATGTTTTAGTTAGCACTGTCATTCTCCTTACACACACAGCATCCTCTGTGCTGGTTTGTTTGCAGGGATTAGCTGGAGCCAGTGCTCAGTGATTCCTACCAGCATCTCCTGGCTGCACCCAGCAGTTTCTCCAGGCATTACACGATAATGTTTTTAACGGACTGCCTAAGACTGGTTGGGAAGATAAACTTCCAAATGAGAAACTGTACAGTGTGGTCACACTGGATGTCTGCCAGATGGCAGAAAAATAAATCAAAGTCTGCCCTGAGCAATCAGTGGGATTGAGCCTGGGAATTTCCTTTGATCTGCATCTGGGAGGTGTACCCAGTCCTTTTGCTTTCAGCATCAAAGCTGAAACCTGATGATGACTATGCAAGGGAAAACTTTACCCAGAACAGTCATAGCCACTTCAAAGGGTGCCAGTCAGACTTGGGGACTCAAGATGAGTCTGGTGCTTTGTTCCAGACCTGATCCTGACCAAAACAATAATGTAAAAACTGGGGAGTGAGTTGGTCACGTTTGTCACCAAGGAGAAATCTGTTGCAGAATGGTGAGCAGACTGCAGGCACCTGTGTGCTGCAGAACAGCTGGCAAAGGCACAGGTATAGCAGCTGTGAACTTTTGGAGGGGAAATGAGTAGGAAGTGATGGATGTAGCAACAGCTGTAGATAGAAAAATGTGTGCACATATTAAATGGTGCTGTAAATAACAAAAGCAGAAAGTTAAGGTTTAAAGACCTTTACAATTATCAGCACACCCACTGCCAGTTTAATTGATCCCTCTGTTACAACAGTGCCAGCCACCATATATGATGGATTCCCCATTATGATGTATGATGTTACCAAACTGCTGCCATGAAGAAGGAGACTGTCTGTCCCAAGTCTGGACTCTCTGTCCCTCTTCTTTATCTTGCCCCTGCATGAAGGCTGATAAGCCTTCAAAAGTAGTTTTGTGAAAGACAAGAAAGGGTCTGCAGCTATTGCATCCAATTCACAGCAGACTAGAATATCATGGAGCACCTGTGACAGTCCTGTGAGCGCTGAATTCGTTTCTGGGCTGACTTGGCTGCCCTTTACTCTGAGCTTGTGACAAAACTACTGGTCTGTATGGATCAGCATGCAAATCAGCATTCTGTGCTGTGCCGTTGTCCTTAGGTCTTGAAATACTGTTTAACACTTACTGCAATTAGCAAGAGTGACAATTAGAAATGCTTGGAAAGCATTCAGAAAAAAACCCAAACCAAACCCAAAAAGAAACCACACAAAAATAATTAGAAAGGAAAAGAAGTGAAAACATTATTTCCCTGGAAATTTTTTTGGTATTTTCTTCTCATGACCCATCCATCATCACCTGTCCTGTAGTGAAGTCAAGGTACTGGTGCCCTGCAGTAAGGGGGATGCCCACTGGATGTCATGATTGCTCCACAAAAGTGCAAACACAATGTAATTTATCTAGCAGTCAAAATATTATTCCTGAGAGGAAGCAATTTTAGGACGTACGTTTTGTGTAGATATTCTCTTTTTCTGTTTCAGCCTCTCATCTATACACACACATAAATCTCAGATTTCTTGAACTGTGCAGAGTCAGTAAGCCATAGCTAAACCCCTGTGTCTGTTAGGTTTGAATTGTGTGGAAACAAAAAAAGGACTGAAAGTTATTCAAATAAATTACATAGGAAAAGACTCTTGTCACTGATTTTAGAAAAAGTCAGTCACCCACGTAACTTTGAAAATCATGGTCTTATTGCCATGATTAATGAGAGAGAGGTAGAGTCTGTAATTGCAATCAAATGGATTCAATCACTTAATTCAGTGATTAATGAGATCAACAAATTGTATGTGGGTCATCTCAGCTTTAGACTCCTACACTGCCTATAAGTTATTTACAGAGGGAAAGTAAATAAGAAATGAAACAAACCGAAAAAATGTACTGCTCCCCTGCCAAAAACTCTTCTCCAACCATCTGAATTCATAGTACATAGAATATATGACTGCAAATGCCTACATTCTGCAAATGTCAGTAGTGGCTAGCTCTTGTTTTAATTTACTATTTAAATGTATTAAACATGAAAGGAATCTTGTTAAATGTCATAATCATAATGACAATCCAAATGAAATTAACTAGAAGAGTCAATTAGATTCAGAGGCCAAGCAGGAAGTAAAATGAGTCATGGGGAAAGGAGGATCCCCCAGACTCTGCACAGCGTGGATTACAGTCTTAAATGTCATGTGGAAATGAATACAGTGCTAATGTTCTCATATTCAAGGCTAGGTTATTTGCTCAGTCTCCAGAAGGCAAGCTTTTATTTTTTTTTTGAAGGGTTAGGTAAACCTGTGGACTTGGTAAACCCAGAAACTGTGCAGAAGTATGGTGCTACCTGAATTACAACCACAAAAAAGACTGTTTGGATGAACAAAGATTAATTTGTAGAAATGAGACTGACAGATATTAGAAATCATGATTAATAGAATCATAAAATATTTTAGTTTAGAAAAGATTTGTAGGGTCATCAAGTCCAACTGTTAACACAGCACTACCAAATCTACCACTAAACCATGTCTCCAAGTGGCACATCCATGTGTTTTTTGAACACTTCCAGGGATGGGGACTCCATCAGTTCCTTGGACAGCCTGTTTCAATGCTGTAAAACCATTTGGGTGGAGAAATTTTTCTCAATTCCCTGTCTAAACCTCCCTTGGTGCAACTTAAGGCTGGTTCCTCTTGAGCTATTGCTTGTTACTTGGGAGAAGAGGCTGCCCCCATCTCAGTGCAACCTCCTTTCAGGCAGCTGTACAGAGCCATAAGGTCCCCCCCTGAGCTTCCTTTTCTCCCACCTCAACATCCCCAGCTCCCTCAGCTGCTCTTCATAAGACTCATTCTCCAGACCCTTCACCAGTTCCATTGCCCCTCCCTGGACATCCTCCAGTACCTCAATGTCTTCCTTGCAGGGTGAGGCTGAAAACTGGACACAGGATTTGAGGCACAGCCCCATAGGTGCTGAGTACAGGGGAACAGTCATTTCACTGCTGGCCGTGCTGTTTCTGATAGAGTCCTCTTGTTTTCAGTATCAAAATAGCTGATACTCACATGTGACCAGAAGGCAGAAATGAAGTAAAAAGAAAAGCATTTGTGAACAGGATAGATAAATTGTTATGTAGCAGAGACAATTCAGTACTTTTCCTCTCTGTCTCTGGCCTTATTTTTCTGAAATGTTGATGGAGGCAGTTCCATGATGATCCTCTGAGTATAGATTTACCATGCCTGCCAACATTGCCATCTACAGTAGCAGCACATAGAAAGTTCAACAGCAGATATTTTCCTTATGGGTCCATCTCATGTAGTTGTATGTGTTGCAATTTTTATGGACTGTCCAGGTACATATTCTTTGATCAAAGGTATTTTTCAACATCAGCTTTCTGGTTTGCATTCTACTGTCACATATATTCAGCAAAGAACTGTCACATATATTCAGCAAAGAACAACTTCAGATTATGATTATGTTATGTCTTTTCTGTCACTCAGTCAACTAATATCTTGTGACTATTTGTAGTAGGAGGAGGTCAGAGAAAAGGTACAAGATTAACTCATAGCTTGCAGATAACTTCAGAACTAATTCAAGGGTGTCAAAATACAATTTAATCGTTATGTTAGTTAAAACAAGGAAAGGCCTTACAGTTTCAAAAGTATGCATCATACAAATGTTATTCCTATCTTTTCCCCCTCTTTCATTAACTTGTAATTCATTTTACAGCTTCTCTGATCTTTGTCCCTTTCTCCTTCCATCTCAACATGAAATATTATGAAGGACTAAATGGGAATAGCAAGTTCATCAAGTGAAAGCGACTCTTAAATGCTTACATTTTTGGTGGATGATTTGTATTTTACAACACAGCTCTGGAGGGCACAAAAACCACGAGCAATTGCTGTGCAGTTTAATGATTTGATTATTTTGCCCTTGCTTTGAACATAGCAGATGAGTTCCTTGTCACAGGAAGCAGAAAGAAGCAGCTCAGCTGGGATGGCCCAGGTGTGAAGCAAAGACCTGTTGTCCTTCAAGATGCAGCTGATGGTCTGTAGTCTCTGTGCCTCTCAACAGCTCTGCCCCTTCAGGGGTCTGCCCCATTTGATTTGGGATGCAGTGGTTGGGAGAGCTGTGGATGAACAGTGGTTTTATGCTATGCAGTACTGATGTTTTCTGCTTGCTTTCATTCTCTTTCTCCTATTCCTTACTGTCTTTTTTGCCTTTCTGTCTACTGAACATTGAGCTGACATTTCAGGAAATTATCCAGAGTTATTCTGAGACCTCTTTCATGAATTGTTAATGTAGAGCCCATCATTGCATATGTATAGTTAGGATCATAATTTTGCCATGTGCATTACTTTGCATTTATTGACATTGAATCTCTTCTGCCATTTATTACTCTGCCATGAGAGCTTTCTGTGAGTCTTTGAGGTCAGTCTTAGGTTTGATTTTTCTGAATGCTTTTTTAGCAGCTGAATATTTGCCATCTCACTAAAAGAGATTTATTGCATTAATAGTGACAAACAGACTTCTACAGTTGATTTATGAATATAGGGGGAACAGAGCTGGCTGTAGCCCTGAAACTTACTCCCTGTGGGAGAACCTCCCTCCACTGTAAGAACTGACCAGCCACAATTTTTGACTGCTCAGCTTTTAAAGTAACAATTATTAATTAGTAGGATCTCTGTCTCTTTTCTTCCATGACAGCTTAATATCTTTAAGAGTGGTAAGTGCTCAAACTTTTCAATTTTGGGAGATTCATGTGCATGATATATCCTTGTCACTCCTCTCCACATGCTCACTGATTTCTTAATAGAGCACCTCTAGCTTTTTGAAGTACTTCTTTCCCATAAAAAGCCATGTTGGATCTGACTTTTCTCCAATATATCTATGTGCTATTTATGACAAAACTACAACTATTCAGTTCACTGTACCATTCAGTCTCAGTGCACAGGAGCTGTCGCCATCAGTACAGCTCTTAGAAATCATGGTGCCATGCTGCGCCTTTTCTTTTTCCTCTACAGATAATCTTCTAGACCAGAGATTAAATACCAAGCTTCATAGTTTAGCAGTGTTGTACCTCTGCTCCTTCACTCTGGAGACCATCTGATCCTCTCAATTTCTTATGATTCTTTCAATTTCTTCATCACACTGTGGGCTGGGATTGTTCCCTGGTCTCATCCTCATAAGGAAAGGCTTTGGTGTCAGTGAGTCCTATAGCTCCTAGAGGAGGGACACCCTGGGGAAGAATTAGCTAGGCTTTTTTCCTTCAGATTCGTCTTCTCTGCATGCTCTTTTTAGATATAAGTAGGACTTTTCAGCCTCGCTTCTTCACTGCCAGACTTCCAGGTAAAATTATTTGGAAAAGTTAGTATTTTTTATTTTTTTTACTTCTTGAAAAAATCTTTCTTCCTACTAATTTAGACACATATAAGGTTTTCAGACAACTTCTTAACATTCAAGCTGCTTTTAAATTTTTCTCATTTAGGCCTTTTTATTTTTTTTAAGGTTGCTTTTTACCTGTAATGGCAGCATTTTTCTCTG